CCAGCGTGCGCGAGTGACCGAATCGGTGGTCAGCCAGCAGCCGACCGCCCGGCCGCAGCGAGCCGGCGGTCTGGCCAGAAAATGAACCGGCCGGTTTAGACCAGTTTTTGAGCTGTTCAGGACTTAGTGATCCGGTTCGAGTCCAGTACAGTATTTCAGTTAATTTTTCAGTCCAGCCAGTCCAGTACACCGATATCAGTTCAGTCCATTTTCTTGTCAGTCAAGTTAAGTCCAGAGAATATTCCAGTTAAATATTTAGACCGGGTCGAGCATCTTAACAGTTATTTTCAGTCAGTCTAAGTGTAGCACTTAGTATTTGTTTATTTATATATTTTTTACAGAGTGATCAGCTGCAGCACTTACATTATCAGTACAGGTGGGAACTCAGACTGGGTATTACATTGGTTATAATTGCTCTATCATGTTTTAAGGTATGTATATCAGTTATTCCACTTTGGGTGGAGGCGCAGTAGCCTTAATTGCCCATCCAGAGTTCTGGTGGAGGCGCAGTAGCCTTAATTTCCCATCAGAGTGTGCACATGGCCAGTTCAGTACAGACCTAGTGTCTGGAGTTTACAGATTACAGTTTACTTATATATATCTGCAGTCATGATATTGATATTATTATTAATGTTTACTTTAGCATGAGTTTCTGCGGACTACAGTGTTTAGTACTCACGCTCCCACTATTATGATCTTTTCAGGTGACAGGGTCGGTCCGGAGGAGTGAGTGGAGCTGGTGGTCGCCGGTCTAGTACATGTAGATATGTATATATTTTTGCAGAATATTGATATGTATATATTTGCCACATTTTACTTCCGCTGACGTTTTCAGACTTCCAAACTAGCGTGTAAATTTTCAGACGACGATCCGAGCTTTCGGTCAGGTTTTATACAGTGTCACACGCTTGTTTTATAAAAGATAATCCGTTTTTCGTGGGTGATTCTAGAAAATTAATAAAGTTAACAGATTTTTAGAAAAGAAATATTTTAGTGTAGCATCCCGAGATATATTTCGCAAACTAAAACGTAAACGTTAGAAAAGAATTTGCGAAAATCGGGGTGTTACAAAATGGTATCAAAGCACACATTTTCGTGTATCTGAATACTTCTAAGTCAGAAATTTTCAGAAAAGACCCGACCACGCTACGCTCACGCCTCGCCGACTATCAGGTAAGTGCTGAATTACAGTTTATATATTTAAACAAATGCTTAAGTCTATGCTCAGTAAGTGGGTATCAGACATTTGACCCTAGAAACCAGTAAGATGCTCGAGTATGTTCAGAACTTAGTCGATTGTCCCAGTTATTTGATAGTTCGACTTTAGTATTCTCGGGTTATTTAGCGACTCGTCAAGAGATCTGTGTACTTAAGTAATCAGTCAGTTAATCTCTTATGTTATTTAATCATGTTAAATATTTCAATGTTCAGATGCCTCCTCGTAGAGAACCAGATCACCAGGAACTCCCACAGGCCACAGTGGTCGCCCTGTTCTGCGACTACCATCCAGAAAAGTTTTCCGACCAAGGAGATCCTCGTATAGTAGATGAATGGGTTCAGGGTCTCGAGATTATTTTTGAGGTCATGAACTGCCCTGATCGTTATCGCATGTTATGTGCCAAGATCCAGCTGACCGGTGATGCCCGACTCTGGTGGCAAGCCTATTGGAGTATGCGTCCCGGTGAAAAAGACGGTTGTGCGTGGGACCAGTTCAAGGAGCTGATCCGAGAGAAGTATTATCCCTCGTATTACCGAGCAGACATGGAGCGCCAGTTCTTGGCACTCACCCAGGGTACTCGTTCTGTTGACGAGTACGAAAGAGAGTTCACCCGTCTCGGAGCCTTTGTGCCTGATCTTGTGGGTATGGAGGCGAAGAGAGCTCACCGTTTTACCGACGGACTTCTCCCAGCAGTCCGCCATAACATCGTAGGTCACGGCGTCCAGACCTACGCCCGCGCAGTTGCCATTGCACAGGAAGTCGATGCCAGTATCCCACGTGAAGCCGTCCAGACACCAGCCCAGCCAGTTGCCCAGCCATCAACCCAGCCTAACGTTGCCCAATCATCAAAGAACCAGAAGAAGAGGAAGCTCAGAGGGGGCCCAGACAACCGGAGGACCCGTCCCAGACAATATCCAGAATGCCCAACCTGCGGGAAACACCACCGTGGAGAATGCCTCGTTGGCCAGAATGTTTGTTTCTTTTGCCGCCAGCCAGGTCACTTCAGCAACAACTGTTCAGAACGACTGCAACAACAACCGCAACAACGTCAACCACCACAGCAACCTCAACAACAGCAACCCAGGCAGCAACCACCACGACCACAGCAACAGCAACGCGGCAGACAGCAGGCCCGCGTTTTTGCAGTTGATCAGAGGGAGGCCGACCAGCACCCAGGTACCATGTCCGGGATGATTATTCTTAATGATGTGCTTGTCTATGCCTTATTTGATACCGGAGCGACCCATTCTTTTATATCACGACGATGTCTCGAAGCTATTGGGGTTCGTTCCACTACCGCTGTCGATCCGCTCGAGGTGAGTTTAGCCTCGGGAAGAAAGATAGTGACTGACGCTAGAGCCACCGATCTCAGCCTTTCCATCGGCAGCCGTATTCTGATTACTGATGCTTATGTTATCGAGATGAGGGATTTTGTCCTCATACTCGGTATGGATTGGCTAACACGTTTTCACGCAGATATCCGATGTCATGACTGGGAGATTACTCTTTATCTTCCGGGAGATGATCAGATCACTTATTACGGCTCCAGGACTCCTACTCTGCCTCATATTATCTCTAGGGCGAAAGCCAGAAAGATTCTTTGACGGGGTGATTGCTAGGGTTATCTTGTGAGCCTCGTTGGAGATGAGCCAAAGGCACGTTCACCTCATGACATTCCTATCGTTCATGAATTTGTGGACGTGTTCCCAGACCAGCTTCCTGGAGGTCCATCTAGCCGACATGTGGAATTTTCTATTGATCTTATTCCCGGAGCCGAACCCGTTTCAAAGGCACCGTATAGAATGGCGCCTAAAGAGTTGCAGGAATTAAAGACCCAAATTTAAGAGTTGCTGAATCTCGGTTTTATACGACCGAGCGTTTCTCCTTGGGGAGCACCAGTCCTTTTTGTCAAGAAGAAAGACGGATCCATGCGTATGTGTATCGACTACCGGGATCTTAATCGGTTGACGATCAAGAATAAATATCCGCTTCCAGGATCGATGATTTATTTGATCAGTTGAGGGTTGCCTGCGTGTTTTCCAAGATTGATTTGCGTTCAGGCTACCATCAGCTAAAAATCAAGGAGTCAGACATACCCAAGACAGCTTTTCGTACGAGATACGGTCACTTCGAGTTTGTGGTTATGCCGTTTGGCCTCAGTAATGCCCCCGGCAGTATTCATGGACATGATGAACCGTGTATTTCATCCTTTTCTTGACCAGTTTTTTATTGTTTTCATCGATGATATTCTTCTTTATTCCAAGAGCCAGAAGGAGCACGAGGAGCACCTGAGGGCTGTTCTTTTGACCCTTAGACGCGAGAAGTTATATGCAAAGTTCTCCAAGTGCGAATTTTGGCTTCAGCGAGTGGCTTTTCTTGGTCACATTATTACTTCAGCAGGTATTGAAGTTGATCCTTCCAAAATTGCTGCAGTCCAGAATTGGTCAGCACTGAAGAATCCGTCCGAGGTTCGTAGTTTCCTCGGCCTTGCAGGTTATTATCGCAGATTTATTGAGGGGTTCTCGAAGATTGCCCTCCCTTTGTCTCAGTTGACGAGGAAGTCTGTAAAGTTCGAATGGACAGACCGTTGTGAGTCGGGTTTTCAGGAGCTGAAAAGGAGGCTTACGACGGCACCGGTGTTGACTATTCCTGATCCTTCTCGGAGCTTCACCATCTATAGTGAAGCTTCGAGGCAGGGTTTGGGATGTGTACTTATTCAAGATGGCCAGGTCGTTGCTTATGCATCACGCCAGCTTAAACCACATGAACAGAACTATCCGACACACGACTTGGAATTAGCAGCAGTTGTTCATGCCCTTAAGATTTGGCGACACTATCTATACAGCGGTCAATGCAAAATCTTTACCGATCATAAGAGCTTACAGTATATCTTTACTCAGAAGGAGCTCAACATGAGACAACACCGTTGGTTAGAGCTCGTCAAGGATTATGATTGTACGATTCAGTATCATCCAGGAAAGGCGAATGTTGTTGCTGATGCCCTAAGCCGCAAGGTGAAGGGTGACCTGACATACGTTGTTACTCAGCAGAGTCAGTTGATACGAGAGTTTGCCCGGATGCGGATTCAGGTGATTGATGCACTTCCTACCGCTAATAAGTGTGAGTTCCATGCAGGTTCAGTCGACGCTGAGGGAAAGAATTCGGCAAGAGCAGGCTTTAGATGAGTTTATTCGTACGATTGATGCCAAGGTTCGTGCCGGAGGCGTCGAGCGTTTTCACCGAGGCACTGATGGGGCCTTGGAGTTTCGTGGCAGGATTGTGGTGCCGAAAGTCGAAGCATTGAGAAAGGAGATTTTATCTGAAGCTCATACCGTACCCTATCTAGCCCATCCAGGAAGTACAAAGATGTACCATGACCTGAAAGGGTCGTTTTGGTGGAGAGGATTGAAGAAAGACGTAGCCGACTTTGTAGAAAGATGTTTAACCTGTCAGCAAGTCAAAGCCGAGCATAAGAGTCCCATAGGCCTTCTACGACCACTGCCGATTCCGAGGTGGAAGTGGGAGGAGGTTGCGATGGATTTCGTCACAGGGTTACCGAGGTCGTCTAAACATCACGATGCTATCTGGGTCGTGGTCGATAGATTGACTAAGGTTGCTCATTTCTTGCCAGTATCGATGAGTATGTCTTTGGATCCGTTGGCTGAGATTTATGTCCGTGGGATCGTTCGACTCCATGGAGTAACTGTTACTGTCGTGTCAGACAGAGACCCCATATTCACCAGTAGATTCTGGAAGAGTTTACACGAAGCGATGGGTACGAAGCTAGCCTTCAGTTCAGCCTACCATCTCGAGACTGATGGACAGACGGAGCGGACTATACAGACGTTGGAGGATATGTTATGCGCTTTGATTGTTGACAGGTGTGCTAAATGGGAGTCGTTATTGCCGTACGTCGAGTTCGCGTACAACAACAGTTATCATTCTTCTATTCAGATGGCTCCTTATGAAGCACTATACGGTCGTAAATGTCGTTCCCCTCTTTATTGGGACGACGTCGGTGAACGTCAAGTACTCGGTCCGAAGCTGATCGAGGAGATAACCGAGCAAGTCGAGTTGATCTGGCAGAGACTTAGAACAGCTCAGAGCAGAATGAAATCAACCACCGATCATCATCGACGAGATATTCAGTTCGAGGTTGGCGAGCACGCTTTTCTCAGAGTTAGTCCATTTCGTGGAGTTATTCGATTCGAGAAGAGAGGGAAGTTACACCCTCGGTTCATTGTCCCGTTCGAAGTACTCGAGCGAGTGGGCGATGTTGCGTATCGTTTAGCCTTACCTTCCGAGTTATCCAGTGTTCACAATGTCTTTCATGTATCTATGTTACATAAGTACGTGTGCGACCCCGATCATGTCATTCCTCATACTGATATTGAGATTCATCCAGACTTGTCTTACGAGGAGCGACCGGTAGCTGTGTTGGACCGACAGGTTCGACGGCTCCGGAAGCATGATGTTCCCCTCGTACGTATTCAGTGGGATCGCCGCGGAGCCACTTGGGAGCAGGAGGCTGACATTCGCGCTCGTTTTCCCGACTTTCAGTTTTGATATGTATATTTTCATGTATATAGGTTTTGTTTTATATTTTCGAGGACGGAAATATTTTAAGGAGGGTAGATTGTAATAACCCGACTTCTTGTTAATATAAATGATGTATTATCCTTTATTAATTCCGTTCATTTTCAGCAATTACGTTCGACGTTGAGTCGAAAAGTTTATCCGGTTAATTATTAACCGAGTCAAATTCGATAATTAATTTCCGAACCGCTTATTTTATAAACGGACATTATTAATCGGGATTAATTATTAAAGTTATAATTGTTCGGGACTAAGTTTGAGGTAGAAAGGACACTGGAAGGCAAACTGCCCTCTTCCCAAGAAACCCGAAAAAGGTACTCCTTTTGCTTTAGTCGTTGAAACATGTTTAGCGGTGTTATCTACCAGTACCTG